AAGAATCAATGGAACTTAGTGACTGATTGGATATAAGTGGCAATGAAGAACAGGGAATTTGAAGAAGAGGAGGAAATGAAATACATGTTAAAAATAACCAGAGAGATGCTGTGAACTAATTCACTTGGGGTAATCTGCATATGAATTATATTTGCAATTATGAGAATGAATGAGTTTTATACATTGGGCTATATAGAATGAAAGCAACAAAAAGTTAGTGACAGCCTTTAGGAGAATAGCCACAATTAACATACAGAAGGACAAGACTGAAGCAAACAAAGAAGGAAGAGTCAGAAAAGTAGGAGAAAATAGGATATGATCATGTCATAGAGGCTAAGAAAAAGAAAGGTTTGAAGAAAAAGGATGTGGTCAAAACTGGCAAGTGGAAAGAAAATAAGGGGAGGGAATAAGCATTTACATAGCATCTACTGTGTGCCAAGCACTGTGCTAAGTGCTTTACAAATATTATCTCATTTGATCATCACAACAATCCTGCAAGGTAGGTGTTATTATCCTCATTTTTATAGGTGGTGAAACTAAGGCAAACTGGGGTTAAGTAACTTTCCCAGGGGATACAAAGCCAGCAAGTGATTGAGGCTGGATTTGAACTTAGGTGTTCCTAACTACAGGTTCAGCACCCTATACACTGTGCGACTTCCCACTCACCTAGAGAGGTCAAATAAAACCAAAACTGAGAAAAAAAAATGTTAGACAAGAGAAAAAGGTTAGTGTAGACCTACAATAATGCAGCTTTAATAGAGCAAAATAGAGTTTGAAACCAGGTTGCATGGTGTTAAGGAGAATGTTGATAAGTAAAAGCAGATACAGAGTATTCATTGGAGAAATTTGATACTAAAAGGGATGAAGAAAACTTGTTACTTAAGAAGACTGAAGGTTTGAAATAGCTATTTGGGGAAGTATTCTAAGAATTAACATGATATGTAAAGAGTTACAGAAAAGCAATGAGAGTCGAGTTCAAGTTCAAAAGCAGATTAAAAAGTAAAGATTTCTAGGAGGCAGGAAAGAATTTTGCACAATTCTCTAATGTTCTCAAGGAATGTTCTGCCACCTAATCAGAAGCAGAGAAACTGACGAGTCAGAATGATCCTGAGTTGGGAACTGGTACTATCAGGTACCTGTCAGAAGGTCAAGACAGACAATAAGTCTAATGTATTAAGGAAGGAAGAATTGAAATGGCTGAGAACAGATTTCAGGACAGGCAAGGAATAACTTATGGTTGGAGAGAACTATAGCCAAAGTACATGAATTGGAAGAAGTCAAACAACTAGATTTTCCAGTGAATCTGTGAAATCTAGTGAAGGTGAAGAGAGTAAGAGGGTGTGGGAGGAAGAAGTGACTAATAAAGAGGCTGTGATCCTAGAACAACAGCATCAAAATGTAGCTCCTGCAGATGAATAGAATAGGACCATGCTACAGTAAGATTTGTAGAATCATTATCCTTGAAATCAGCCTTACCCAGCTCTGTCTTTTTCTTCTTACATTGTTTTCTTCCACACAGTGTTCCTTATTTGAATCCCACTCATCTTGTAAAGCTCAAGTCCCAACTCCTCAAAAAAGCCTTCTCTGACCATTATCACACCCAGCCCACATTGTTTTTCCTTCTCGATTCTTACAACCTTTATTGTCCTTATTAATATTGCTCTATATTTTTCTAGCAATATTGTGGTATGTCTTATCTTCTCAAGTAGGTTATGTAAGTTCCTTAAGGAATGGAACCATGTACTTTGTTTCTCCTGTACTACCCAATACAATATCCTGTATACCAAAGGTGCTCAATAAATAGGTTAATTGACTAAAATTAATGACAAAAGCTGGGATGGGTCCATTCAGATCAAGACTGATTTGCCTAGTGATGGTCAATGGAATCTAGAAAGGCAAGGTCCTTTGAGATTCAGATGGATTACCAACACAGATATTGAAATCACAAAGGATCTTTACAAGAACAGATAGAGGGAAAATATATACACATACATATATAATATATGCATATATACACATACATGTATATACATATATATGTATATACACGGTGTATATATATATATATGTGTGTTGTGTGTGTGTGTGTGTGTATAAACACACACACACACATACACACACACACACACACGCGGTACTTAAGTCCAGAATGTTCTTAGAGCCTGACAGATGAATAGCATAGAGGATTTGGAGATAATAGCACAATAAGGCAGCAGAGATGTAAAATTTTAAAAAGGAGAGGTATGGTGACAGATCAGTGATCTTGAAAGGAATGGAAGGGTAGGAAGACAGCTGATCCCTGCTGACAACTTGTATGGAGTCCTGGTAGAAAGCAAGGCCCCCACTAAAGAGAGCATCAGAGGACATAAGGGTATCACTTAAAGTGAGACAATAGAAGGAGAGAAAGAAAAGGTTGAGAACAAGTAAGGGGGGGTCTCACAGATCCCAGGAGGAGAGACTAATAAAGAAGTTGACTAGGGCAGAACAAGGGGCATGAAATTGAGGAAAGAAAACTGGTTCTGGAGTCAGAGGACTTGGGATGAAATACCTCCTCTGATGCTTACTACCTATGTGACCCTGGAAAGTCATAACCTTCCAGGGACTCAGGTTCTTCATCTGCAAAATAAAGGGGTTGGACTAGGCTGGTCAGCTTTGAATCTATGATCTCATGACTAGAGGAGTTCTCTGGACAGGAATAAGGGTTAAAAAGGAAGTGACAAAGGGCTTTGTGGGTACCAGCAGACATGGAAATCTGAGGGTAAATATTTCAGTAGCAAGAAAAAATATGGTTCAGAGTCTATATACTCAAGGTAGCTAAAAGTTAGGAGAAAGGGAGGGAACACATAGACGCAACAGGAAGAAATGATACATACTCAAGTACACAAGACCCAACCCAAATAAATAATCTAAATATAACATTAGTGTGATAATGCCAGATACTCTAGTTACTAAACACTTAAGCAGAAAGCAGGACTTCCTGAGCCTGCATCATGGGGGAGAGGGGAGAAGGAGGAGGATAGGCAAGGAGTTCTTGAGTCTGATCAACAGAGATAGACAAACCCTCCCTTGACAAGTAACTACCCCTGACTCTAATTATAAGAAGGATTCTGGGTATTATATTTACTATGTCACTTTTCTGGAGCTTCTAACCATTCTGATTTCTCAGAGACCCTTCCAAACCTCTCAAGATAGGAAGGAGTCTGAAGAGATCAAAGAAAAAGGAAAAGGACCAAATGTACAAAAATGTTTGTGGCAGCTCTTTTTGTTTTGGCAAAGAATTGGAAATCGAGGGGATGCCCATCCACTGGGGAATGGCTGAGCAAGTTGTGGTATATGATCGTGATGGACTACTGCTGTGCTATAAGAAATGATGAGCAGGATGCTTTCAGAAAAACCTGGAAAGACATGAATTGATGCAAAGTGAAGTGAGCAGAACCGGAGGAACACTGTACACGGAAAAGCAATACTGTATGATGATCTAGTGTGGATGGCTTAGATATTCTTAGCAACACAGTGATTTGAAGGACTTACAATGAACAATGCTATCCCCCTCCAGAGAAAGAATTGATGAAGTCTAAATGAAGACTGAAGCATACTTTTTTTCACTTTATTTTTCTTGGGTTTGGGTTGTTTGTTCGTTTGGGTCTGTATTTTCTTTTGCACCATAGCTAATGTGGAAATGTTTTGCATGATTGCACATGTATAATTTTTATCAAATTGTTTGCCTTCCCAAGGAGAGATCAGGGAACAGAGGGAGAGAATTTGGAACTCAAAATCTTAAAAAATGAACATTAAAAAGTTTTTGTTTATGTATAATTGAGAAAAAATAAACAACATGTGTACTAAAAAAAATGATAGGAAGGAGTCTATGGTTCTAGCCTTAGGACTATTGTTATATTAATGTGCTTCTCATTCACTTTTCCTTAAAATTAAATTTCACTCGAAGCATTAGATTTCAACCATAAAATGCTTTTTCTAGCATAATTGAAAGCCAAACCTTGGGGCACAAAAACCTGTCAGTGTGAAAAGGCTTCTCAGACTCAAAATAGAAAGGGCTTCTCTCTAACTAGAGTTGGAACTGATAGCACTATTGTTTGAATTATCAAGTATGGGGAGAAAGTTCCCCAAAAGAGAGAATTGAATAAAAAACTGTAGTACCTCACAGGAATGGAACAAACTTCACTGAAATTAAAGACTAAACTTGATAACTTTACTATAGGCAGAAATCTTTTCCTTGTCAGTGAATAGATTGGATGCCTTAACTCTTCTTTCTCATTTCTGTATTTTCTGTGAGATAATAGTTTCCTGGATATGAGCATATCACAAAAATCACAGAGCCAAAAGGGACCTTTAAAAGCCATATAGCCCATCCACACGTCCTGGCAACATCAAACTCAACCCACTCCAAAAAGATGGTTATCTATCCTTTCCTTAAACTCTCCAGAGAACAGGATGCTACAACCTCCAGTGAATTTATTAGGTCCAACATCTTACAACTCTTATGATCAAGAATCTGCTTCTCTTCTCTAAATTAGGTCTCTTCCACTGCAATACAAGGTTTAGTTTATCAGCTCCTTCCTTTCTCCAAAAAAATTTAATTCACTCCATTTCAAGGTACAAACAACCAGAGAATTAGTCACTGACAGTTGTGTCACTTTCTTCTGTTTTGAGTCACTCCATTAATTAATCAATAAGCATTTATTAAGCACCTAAAAATGGATTCAATGTTTCCAACATTTAGCTTAGACACTCTTCCAATCTACTCTAGCTTGTATTTTTTTTTTCTGGATAAGCCATTAATATTTACTGGATGGTTTTTCTAGGAAGTTGATGTAAATGGAGTGAACCTATTACATACAGTGAGTGCTTAATATATGTTTGTCAGACTGAATTGAACTGAAGTATGAACTTACAGAGGCTCTAAGAAGTAGGAAAAAATGGTTTTTAAAAGTTCCCCTAAGAAATATATTCCAGAGAACTGTGGAAGAAGAACTACTTACATGCTCTCACAGAACCTAGTAAGAGTGCTAGGCTTCTCCTGGTTGCGTCTCTGTCGAAACCAGCGCTGGATATTGCGAACGTCCCAATCTAACTGCTTGGAAAGACCTTCCAGTCTCTTCTCATCTGGATGCTATAAAACAAGGTATCAGGAAATTATTATCAATTCATTTTCAACTTCATATAGTCCCCTTAGGTAATTATAAGCACCCCTAATTTGATCATTTACTAGTTTACTTAGATTTATATGCACATCTTTGAAGAAAACTTCAGCATAAAATTAATACACAATTAATCTTTTAAGCAAAAAAGCTCAAAGAAGCTCAGCTTCCCTGTACTCTTCTCCTACTGACTCTAACCCTAAGAAAAGTAATGTTAAAGAATAAATACATAAATGAATGGACGGATGAATAGATGAATAGACAACAAAATAGTATAAATGCCCCTCACCATTGTCTCCCCTACTAAAGGTTAAACCATTGCCCAGCATTTAAGGTCCTTCAAAATATGTCTCCAAAATACCTTACAGCATTTTATTAATCCTTTCCAATCATTCAAATCCAATGAAACTTGATTTCTTCCCATTCCCAATATGTCCTGCATTCTCTTATCTCCTTAACAATTACTATCAAACTGGTGAAATGATGGATGTTGTGAATTTCAGCACTTCTTAAACTTGTAGTATACATTAACACAATCTATATCATATTTATCTATATTGTACCATATCCTTTTATGCAACATCAGAGGCATGTACTGGTGATCCTTGTTGATATGATTCTGGAATAGTAAAGTCACACTTAGAAGAAGGATCAAATGTTTCTCAAGAGATTTTAAATTTGGAAACTTGTAAAAGATAATCCCATTTCTTTCCTCTTCTTACAGATTAGAAAAGAGAAGAATACATCAACTAGAGGAGGCTGAAGACCAAAGACATCAGTTCTCATATCAACTCTATCACTAAGGAGCTGTAGGACAGTGGGTTTATAGCTTGCTTGCTCTTTGCCTCAATTTTCCCATTTTGTAAATGTAGATGCTAATACCTATCCTATTTTACAATTTCAGAAGGGTGCCATAAGAACAGTAAATGGGACAGTGCTTAGGAAAAGCAAATAAAAATGTATTATTATTGTATTATTGCTATTTAGTTCTTTTCTCCAGTACAAATTATAGCTCTTAATACCACGTCTAATGCCACTGAATTCTTTCAGGTGGCAAAAAAGAAAAGACCTAGCCATTAGGGTTAGGTTAGAGAAAGAGCTTACAAGAGGGCAAAAAAGGGGACAGATGAGTTTTAATGTGGGTAAGGATAAGGTCATATATTTAAAGATAAAAACAAATTCAAATTATATAATACAATCTAGGTTGTTCAATGATTAGACAGTTGGAGTCATGAAGACTTAAGCTTCAATCCTGACTCAAACACTTATCAGCTGTATGACTCTGGGCAAATCATTTAACTTTTCTCAGCCTCAGTTTTCTTATTTGTTTAATGGGCATAATATTTGTACCTACCTCACAGAGTTGTGATAATCAAATGAGATAACACATAAAACATTTTACAACCTTAAAAGTGCTAAATAAATTCTATCTATCCATCTCTTATATACAAAATCAAAAGCTAAGCAAAGATATTGAAAACAAAACAAAAAAAATCCTCCTCTTATGCAACACCACATGCAATTTTTTTGCCACAGCCAAAGAAAGATATATAGAAATTAGAGAAAATTTTTAAAAGGGCAATTAGAAAGACTGAGATAGAAGGAGGTATGGCTGCTATATAAGGGCAAAATAAAAGGATAAGGAATCTAAAGTAGAAAGACAAGGTAAGACTAATAGTCATATAGTATTCAACTCTAGTCCATGTCTTTTCACCACTTCCCAAGGTGTCTACCCCACATACTCAGGGAAGGGGGGGTCCTCCCTCTAGATTTCTTGACATTTCACAGATAACAAAAAAATGTGAGATGTATGTCAGCTATTTTTCACTCTGATTGGATGACCATACCATCCCTTTTTTAAGTCAGACATCTCTCTGATGATAGTCTATATACTACTTTTCCTGCAATTTGTTTCTATGCAGATGACTCCCAAATTTTCATATCCAGCTTCCATCTTTCTCCTGATCTCCAGTACATCAACAATTGCCTGCTGCATGGATGATAAAGCATTCTTCCAAATACTTACCATATGCAAACATTTAATAAATACTTGTCAAACTCAATTGAATTTATGCATGTGTTAGTTTCTCCCACCCAATTTTCCACTGACTATTGAATAGTCTGTGATGAGTTTTTAAAAGAATCAAGTGATGTATTAATTTTTTGTCTGTTGAAGGGAAGAGGGAAAAAACATTCCCAAATTTTTGAGGCTGAACCCCCAAAAGCCCTTCTACAAAATGGTGCCACTATCAAAGACAGGACACAAGACTTGATGAAATTTTTCATCATGTGTAGCAGTTTTCATGCTTTTATAATATTAATAGCTCAAATTTATGTAGAAACTTTCTCCACAAGTCTTGAAGGCTTTCTCTTCCCTAAATTCCTTTCTTCATCTAACCTGTTCTTTTTTACAAATGGGAGGACTCTGAAGGATTTAAGAAAGAGTAGCCCCAACTTGGCTGCAAAATCTCTTTACTACCTCTGTATTAGAAATTATTCTGGTAATTGTAGTAAACATAAGGCCAGAGAAATAAAATCTCTTTTGCATGATTCCTATGGGAATACGTGTGTACAGAAAATGTCATTGTCCATATTGCATGCTTGATGCATGTTACAATTCCTTACATAAGGTGAATTCAAATGTGATCATGTTTTAAAAAGGGCCTAGAAATGCCCTTGGTAATGTTGTTTTGGTGAAAAAATATGTATTTTTCTGAGCCAACTTGACACATCATATAAAAACACAAGGTTTTCTTTAAATTTTCTACTATGCAAATGCAAAAGAATATACAAGTTACTCTTTTTTGTAATAAAGATGCTTTTACAGATTATAATTTAGGAAAGGCTACAATGACTCCCACAAAGCCACAAGAACCTTTTTTTTTTGCATTTTCATTTATCCACTTTCTTTTTTCCCCAAGTGAAAATTTTGGAAATACTTAATGGTTTCCTATGCTCTTTTCAGGAAAATGGTCTTTATATTTTAAAAGAATCATCTAAGAAAACCTTCTCAGGTACCTAGACCTTAATGTGAATATGAGAGTAAGCAGTTCAAATAATCAGTAACTGCAAATATCAAGTTAGGAGTGAAATTTGCTAGATTGTCAATATCAGAATAAGTAGTCTGCATTAAGTCCCACAAAATAATGGCAAAAAATGAATATGCTCAGTATCTGAAAATACAATGTTCACTAAAGAAAATCCAACGGTCCTTTCTCAACAAATAATTTTAGTTCATTTAGTCAGAGCGTACTAAGAGCCAAGATGGGGTATTACAATTAAATATAACACATTGTCTGGTCTCATGAAGCTTACAATATCATAAAATAATGACACATAAATAGCCAAAATACTACTTGATTGAGCATGTAAAAGAGCCATAAACAAACTTTTATGGGAAGTCCAAGGAAAGAAAGACTTCCTATTACTGTCTCCAAGAAATTGAAGGGCTAAAAAATGGGAGAGGAAGTAGATATGTTTTATTTTAATTTTATAGGACAGCTATAGCAATCATGTGTGGAAGTGGCAAAGAAGCAGATTTAGGTTCCAGGTAAGGGAAAACTTCCAAGAAGTTGTCCAGAAGTAATAAGTTCTGCCTAACTCAAGATCTTCCTTGATGACTGGATGACCACTTGAATGACCACTTGCGAGACGTTGTAGGAGAGATTCTGGGTCAGGCATGGGTTGCCTGAGATGGCCTCTGAGATCACCTCCAGCCACGAAATATTGTGAATCTTCAATTCCTTTCTATTTATATATCTCTAGTACACCTACTGTAGGTAGTTCCTAAGGACCTTCTCTGTCTTGGTTTTTTTTTTCTTTAGTAATATTGAGTACTTCAAGCTCCTTTCTCATTTGTTCTCAGAACGATCCTTCCCCTTCTTGAATTTTATTTGTTTTCTGATCCTCTAAGTTGCTAGTGGCTTTACCCCTCTCAAAATTACTTTGTATTTATAAATATTTTGCATATGTTTATATATCAACATATTGTCTCCCTCAATAGAATGTGAGCTACTTCAGGGCAGGGACCATTTCATTTCTATCTTTGTATCACTAGCACCTACTACAATGCCTTACGCACAGCAGGTACCTAATAAATGCTTATGGATTGAACTACAACCCCTATATTTTTGTCACTTGCCTCATGTTGCTTCTGTGCTCAGCTTCCTCTTTTTACTATACCTCTTGTTACCCTGCCATGTTTTATATTCCTTTATTTTTACCATCCCTTTTTGCCTTGCTTTCTCTATATTCCTGTATTCAATCCATAATTGAAGTTTACTCTCCTTGACTGTTTTTGAGAACCCCAACAAGGGAAGCTGCTATCAGCACCAATGTAGTTTTTCCACACAAGACCAAATTATATACTCTGCCTCCACTCAGACACATATGAACAAATAACAAACAGCACAGGCTTCATACCTCTTCCTAGATGTCACATGAAATAAAAAGAGGAACAGAACATGACTTATCACTGACAAAGCAGAAGGATTATTCAGGGATGAGTGAACAGATTGCTTTTCCTGCACTCTGGGGATGAACTAACAGGCTTCTAACCCTTCACACACTTGTTGCTTTTCTACCCTTTTTGGTCTAAGCATTAATTCTCCTCTGCCAATTCATATTTTGCCAATTTAAACAACATATTTGTCTAGCACAGTGCAGCTCACATGGCAAAGGCTTCAACAAAAACCTGTTAACTGATTGATTTGGTAATTGTGACAGCTAATACCATAAGTGAATATCATACCTTTGTAATTGCAGTGAAGACCTTTTCCAGAATGGCATTAGGCTGGGCTTTCTGTGGTCCATTGGCCTGGATGTTAAGCCCTAAGGCACATGGTTTGGCTATGAATCTGAAAAAGATAAAGAATAGAAATTATATTTTCCTGTAGGTACACTGAATTTAACCCAGATATAGTTTTCAATTTTCCTCATCAATCATCTTTGAAATGTATAGTACCACAAAGATATGTATGGTAATTATAGAACAGTGTTTATTCATTTTATTTCTATAGTCCTCCAACAACAGGAGAAAATTTCCTAGAAGACCTTAAATTTCTTGACTTTATATCATAAGACCTACTAGACGGGCATCTGCCCTAGGATTAAAAAGTTTCAGACCAATGGGACATATATAATGCCCTCTGTGATTCCTCAAAGATATAGTTCACATGATGATTAATGATATTGACAAATGCAGCTCAATGAAACATTTAATAGCACCTACTGCATGACAAGTCTCTGTGTTAGGTGCTGGAGATACAAAGATAAAAACAAAAAGCAGATCCTGTCCTCAAGAAGCTTACATTCTACTGGGGAGAGTGGGAGTGGATTATAGAGCAACATGTAAACAGATAAATAAACAAATAAAAGATAAATTAAGAAGAAGCAGCTTATAACCAGGAGAATGAAAAAAGGCTTCCCATAGAAGATGACACCATAGTTACACCTTGAAGAAAGGAGGAAATGAGAGATAAGTAACTGGAAGTTTTCATCTACATTCCATGCTGGCACTAGTCTCATTGACTCTAGCCCCATGGCTAGTGATTACAATATTACTGCCTCCAGGTTTCTCAGAACCCTGTGTGATTCTCATAAGCTTGAAACAAGTCCTGCTATACGTCCTCCAAAGTAAAGCAAAATGCCTGATTTTCTGCAAAATTAATCATTTGGTCAAAGACTAAAGTCACTTTGTCCTAGAGATTTCCTTGATTTCTGGAGGAAGGGGTAGAGGATAAATCTCTACTACTGCAAATAGTATCATCTGATTACTCAGTAGCATTAAAACTTTATCTATATATACAATGGCCCACAGGGACCCATTTGTCCATTTGCTCCCACTTTTTGATCTCACTCACATTCAGTTTGTTCCTGGAGTATGAAAGAGCAGTTTCCTCTCAACATTTCTAGATGTTGAGAGAAAAACCCCAGGGGTGATGAGGAGGAGTAGGTTACTCCACTGTTTATGAAGTATTTGACATCATCTGGAAAACATGACATTTCTACTGAAATAATACCACCAGGGAATAATTTGTTCCAAGTTCTCCTTAATATTTTACTTTAAATAGGATTCTAGGCATAAGGAACAATAAATTTTGTTATTCTTATATAGTGCCTAAGGTATACTCACTCTGTGATAAGATCACAGATCCATCCGAGTGCTGAAATGTGTACATAATGCAGGCCCAATGGAGCAATTTTTATGTAAAATTTTTCTAGCAACATTTTGTATTCTAAGGCCCTCCCTGGTTCTTAGGGTAAATTATTCAGGTAACACTCATGGAGACAACTCTAATTCCTCAGGAAGAATTCTATAATTTCTGAGAAACAAAACACTGCAATTTCATTTCAGAATGTGCTTTCACTGAAGATATCAAAAGATGAAAGAATTAGATGGGGGGGAAAAGGTTGTCTTTCCATATATTAGCTTTTGTTCTATGAAGATCTAAATGTATAATATCATTGAAAGCTCTAAGACAGTGACATTTTAATCATCAGGTATTTTGCTTTATGGAAGCAACAGTTCCCTGAGGCCAGGAATAGCTTTGGTTTTTGGGTTGGTTTTTTTGGGGGGAGCGGGGTTGTCTTTGTATCCTCAGCACCTTGGACAGCACCCAGTACATAATAGAGATCTAATAAATGTTCCTGGATTAACTGACATAAGTCAAGCTGCTCTTTTTTTTTTTAATTTTGAAAGCCAGCATGGTACAGTAGTAAAAAAATGCTGGATTTTGGAATCAGAATTTTTATCTGCCACTTACTACTTATGTGACCTTGGACAAGTCATCTATCTGGACCTCAGTTTCCTACACTGTAAAATGAACAGGGTGGACTAGATGACCTTTAAGGCCTTTTCCAGCTCTAACTGTGACCCCAGGACCCCACTTGAATTTCAGAATACTTGATTCATTAACAAATTTCACCAAATTAGCGTAAGCCTGTTAGTCTTGTAAAAACTGTTCAGAATATAGACTGTGTTCAGAAATGCATTCTTTGAAAGAGCCACAAAACTGTTCTGCAACTACATGCTTTCCTGATTGTTTTTCAGCAGTGGTACCTAGTCTTCTGGTGACACATTTCCCTTTGAAAATGCCAAAGTGACCCATGAAGAAGAACACATTGCTCAAATAACTACATTTGTTCATAAAATTATTTCTTTTTAACTAGCATTGGGCACAAGATGCAGGGTAGGGAGAACTGATTTTTTCTAGTCAGTCAACAAGCATTTATTAAGCACCTATGATGTGCCAGGCACTGTGCTAAGCACTAGGAATACAAGAAAAGCAAAGATAGTCCCTTCTTTTTATTCTTTTATTTGAAAAATATTTCTAACATTTTTAAAAAATTCTGCGTTCTAAATTCTCTCTTTCCAGTTCACCCCTACTCCAGTGACTGAAAAGGCAAGCTTTTGTTCAGTCATTTTTCAATTGTGTCTAACTCCTTGTTACCTTATTTGGAGTTTTCTTGGCAAAGATACTGGAGTAGTTTGCTATTTCCTTTCCCAGTTTATTTTACAGATGAGGAACTGAGGCAAACAGGGTTAAGTGACTTGCCCCAGGTAACAAACTAGTAAATAAATGTGAGATCAGATTTGAAGATGAGTCTTCCTGATTTCAGCCCAGCACTCTATCCGCCACACCATCTAGCTGCCTGAGATGGCAAGCAATTATGATTATCAATTATATATGTGAAATCTGTATTAGTCACATTGAAAAAAAGCAAGAAAAATAAAGTGAAAAAATATGCTTCAATTTGCACTCAGAGTTTATCAATTTTCCCTCTGGAGGTGGATAGCATTTTTCATCATGGGTCCTTCAGAACTGTTTTCGATCATTGTATTGATCAATGTAGTTTAAGTTTTTCAAATTCATCACTATAATATTGTTATTGCTTTGTACAATGTTCTCCTGGTTCTGCTTACTTCATTTTGCATTAGTTTATATAAGTCTTCCCAGGTTTTTCTGAAACCATCCTCAATCAAAACAAGCTAGTTTAGGGATGGGGAACCTGGAGCCTCCAGGACACATGTAGCCCTCTAGGTCCTTGGATGCGGCCTTTTGACTAAGTCTAAGTTTCACAGAACAAATCCTTTTATTTAGGGGGATTTGTTCTGTGAAGTTTGGATTCACTCAAAGGGCTGCACTTGAGCACCTAGAGGGCCACATGTGCCCCAGAGGCCCCAGGTTCCCCACCTCTGAGCTAGTCTTTCAAAACCCTTCATGCTAAGGAAGCCAATCTATCACGGATAGATACAAGTGGGTGGAGAAAAAGCCAGTGGGTGGAATAAAAAGGAAAAGAAGAGAAAAAATTTTCCATCCACACTTCCAGGGATGTAATCCCAGTCAATGGCAACATCAGGAAATATTAGACTATACTTACAAGATTATTTTGTTTAAGAAAACAAGAAAAAATAAGGAATATATCACAGTATTGGAAGTCACTTCTATGTGACCTTTGGAAAAACCTGATAACTTCTGCTTCTTTATCTGTAAATTGGACATGATAGTTGTACATTGTATGCCTCAAAGGGATACTTGAAATGAATTCTGAATGAGTAGTGAGGTGGCATAGTGTATGAAGTGCTGGAATGGAGTGAGGAAGATCTGAGTTCAAATCCTCCCTTAGATACTATCTGTGTGACCCTGGATAAGTTATTTAAACTGCAGCCTGTCTCAGTTTCATCATCTGTAAAATGGGGATAACAATAGTAACTACCACCTAGGATTGTTGTGAGGATGAAAGGAGAAGATTTTTATAAAGTGCTTCGCAAACCTTACAGCATTGTATTTGTTGTTGTTTCTTGTCGTTAAGGCGTTTATCAGATGTGTCTGACTCGGTGACTCCATTTGGGGTTTTCTTGGCAGAGATACTGGAGTGGTTTGCCTTTTCCTTCTCTAGCTCATTTTACAGAGGAGGAAGCTGAGGCAAACAGGGGTAAGTGATTTGCCCTGGGTCACACAGCTGGTAAGTGTCTGAGGCCACATTTAAATCAGATCTTCCTGACTCCAGACCCACCCTGGCTGCCCAAAAAACTATATAAACGCTTCCTCTTGTTATTATTTCCTCAGGGAAGGAAAAACAATTTTGCTCCCAGAAAACTGACTAAAATATGCTAAATATACTGACTAAAATAAAACATACTTCATGGATCAAGTAGCACCAAAATTAATGGAAGTCCAGAAAGCTGAATTGGGAGATCAACGTCAAAAAAAAAGTCTAGAGTCAAAGAGAGTTCATGAAAAAGCAGAGATCAAGATCCCTAACAAGAACACCTGGCCCAGCCTCCTGCCTCCAAGAAATACCATCCTTTTTAAAAACCCCAGAAGAATTCTAAAACCTTCTTTATTGACTTCTTTTAGCATTTCATCAAACTCAGAGTCTTTAATGCTGAACTTGAAATAGATTTCCTTTTTTTAGTCACCCACAGGAACTGTGAGGTCAACATTCTTTTCATAACTAAATGCATAGAAAGCATTTCTCTTTTCCAGGGTAAATAGCTTTCCTTCCTTTAACCTTTCCTTAGTAACTTGGTTTTGTATTATTTTAATTGCATTTGTCACTTTTCTGGATCCCAGTTTATATCTCCCTATAATTTGTATATTTTTGTCCAAAGTAATATAAAATAACTAGAGGATAATAATGATCTCAGGGGAAAAAAGTATATCTGAGTAAAAACAAACCCTCCCCCCACCTTGTTTCCTTCTTTCTGTTTGGAAAAATATCATGGAAGTTTAATTGTTGTTGACGCTGTCACTCCTTTATTTTTCCCTCTTTAATGCCACTCCTTGCAGGAAAATCCTCATTGGTAATGCCTACATACACACACACATACATTTATTTTTTTTTATGCATA